TTGTGGCCAAACAGGAAGATCCGTCTCCACACGCATCCACGAGCACCAATTGACAGTATAGAGACGTGACCATTTGTCCGAAATGGCTATGCTTTGCCTCGACAGAGGACACACCTTTGCATGGGATAAAACGTGCATCGTTGGAGTTTCCCCTCCAAAAAAGGCCGATAATTTCTTGAGGACATGCGTTCCCATGATTCATGCATCAATCGGCGTATCGAGTTAGGTAGAGTGTGCAAACACCTCAAAGAAAGGTGGAAGAGACTGCAGCCGACAAACAGAGACCAATATGAACCGCAATTAGCGTCCACACCGGATGACCAGGACTGACCCCGGACTGACTCAAATTACAGTTGCCAATTAGCCAATACGCCATTGCGACTGCTAATCATTACCACCACGATGTGGCGCAAATTTCAACTCCCAATTAACGCCCACACCAGCTGATTATATAATTGTATCAGCACTTTGAAATGCTAACTGCTCTTTGCACATTTTTCTCAAGTCCGACGACGACCTGGGGATCCAGTGTCAAAAATTAACTGAATAAATTTACTCATTTTCTCAAACGACGCCTTTCCTTGAAATTACATTTATTGGGATGCGTGCCTTTCAGTTTATACGATAAAAATATATTTACACGAAATAACCGGTTATTATAATCTGATGCTTAATTAGGGGGATAAAGTTCCTTGTAGTGATGGTTTCCCATTAAGATCATCAAATTCCGGGTAAACCCAGTATTTTAGACCTTTTTTCTATCAACCCCCAATATTAGAAAACGTAACTTCGTCAGCCTAGCATTGCCCTCGAAACTACACATGTAAGGCCCAAGGATAGAATTTAGAGTTCACTTTCAATTTAAAGAACGTCTCTATGTAGTTTGGAGATTTTAACCATTCGGTTTACTGATTTCTCAAATATAGCATTTTGACATTCTCGCCTCATCAGGTTATTCTCCGCCTACAACATATTCTGTTTTCCTTGATCCTCAGTTAAATTGACCTTGTAGTGTAGGTAAACGTAGGTAACTGTCCCCGTACGCCCTGACCTAGATTTCCGCCTAAAAGTTTCGCAATCATATTTCGGACGGAATTTTCGCCCCACCATGGCAATGCATGCGCCATACAAAGTGACGGCAGTGCTTCGGTCTGAACACCAGGCACGCGATGGTTGGTTCAGACGTTGGTCAGAATGGGATTAAATGAACTTCGAGCAAATTCATACGGATCAGGCAGGAACTGTCAGCTTCATTCCAGAATTTTGCGTATTTAAGCCAAGTGAATTCCGCGCTCTTAAGTGGCGCAGATCCGCGAGGCTTGAGCGGCATAACTTCTTTTTGCGCACACAGTCGGTAGCTAAAAGCTCTGACAGATGTTTCGCAAGTTCTTTTGCAAAATGACGCCTTTTACTTCCCCAAAAGACGGAATCTCGCTAATAGCGTCAAAGTACTCGGTTGGTGTTTAGGCATGCATGCAACGCTGTCGTTCAGCCAAATTACTAATTTACTTAACGATCAATATTATAACTTACCTAATAAAGATAAAGTGCTAGTCAAGAAGAAAAAATTTAATATTAAAATGAATTTTGACAAATTAAGTGACCTGTGTGGTGGAAGTACACTTTGGAGCATCATGGCCAGTTCTTAATGAGAGTATGTGAATATCCACACCTACTTACCACATTTTTAGGGAAAATATTTTTAGAACCTCATTGTAAATCCAATTTTGAGATTTTTACAGTTCTCGTTCATTTAAAGCAAGCTTTTCGTAAAAATATTATAAAGTTTACAGTTATTTTACATTTCTTGGTTGAAAAAGTGTTTGCAATTTCTCTCAAGTCTGATAACGAACTGGGGATCCAGTGTCGAAAATTTACGTAATAAACTATCTATTTCCCAAAGGATGCCTTTCCATGAAAAAGTCTCAGAAAAACGTGCTGCTGAAAGATAGGGAGTATTTTGCTTGGGAAAAATATACGGATAACTTTTTAGTTTATAACGGGAGTAGCCTTTTCAATTATTATTGGTTCAAAAGGCATGTTATTTAGTTTTTTATTAAGCAAATTCACACGGCTCTGCAAATCACCCACAATACATATTGTGCTGTCCAAAGTATTAACATATACAAAATAAATTTGAATAACTTTGACCAAAATAGTAAAAGCTGAAGAGGGTAGACTAAAATAGATGGCTAATCCAATGAAATTTTAATCGAACTACGGAAAATTGCAATCAATTATAAAGGGTTTTAAGGGTTGCGATTGTATTATAGATAGAAATGCATTGTA